CAATCACAAGGAAAACACACTCTTCCCTTTCAAAAGGCTTCAGAATCCGAAGACACCGCCTGGGACTAGATCAGTGTCAGCCACAAGTGTCCCTGTGATCTGTCCTGGTCACTCTTCAGTGGTTGGCCATTCTATTTATGGTACCCTGGGCCATAGGATCACAAATGAAAAACTGGAACAACTATATATTCAAACAAAACAAAACAAAACAAAAAACTCCATTTTGTCTTTCTCCTGCCAGTGAGACTTTTGATTCATTTGTTTTATAGGTTTGAAGCCGCAAAGTAAACGTTCAATGAGAGACACAATTTACCAATCGCTGAAATATCAGCCAAGCACACAAGAAGTACCGCTTACAACTCTTAACCAACACAACCTCAAGTCCGTCTTACTGTACACTCATAACCACTGTTGGATCTACATTTCCTGTTTTGGTCTTTATAAAATATTTTTAAAGGTTGCAAAGCTAAAGTCAGGCATGCCTCTGATGAAAGAGAATGTTCTGGAGTCTTAAGCAGCATGCCTCTTTCCTGCTGGAGTATAGCTTGTCTGTTTCTAACGCTCTAAAAATAATTTATTGCTTAAAAAGTAAGGCTGAGAATGTGGTTAGCAATGTACCAACAAGCACAGATTGAAAGATAAACTGCCAGAGGACGTAAATCCGAAACTGCAAGGCAGACCGGCAGGACCAAGGAGGGCATGGGCAGAAGAGTCGCTGCTGCTGTGTGACTTGGAATCCACTGATGAAATTAGAACACTGTACAAACATGATTCCAGGAAAACACCATTAGCTACCAGATTATGTCCATGCTTTGGAAAAAATAAAATGGAGATGCAAATAGTAAAATATTTAGCATGATTTGCTGAACAACTAGATTCCAGCCAACAACTGAAATTAAAAATTAAAAGATTTCTACCTCTAATATGGCATTTCCTCTCTTTAAAAAAGAAAAAACAAAACAAAACAAAAAAAAAAAAACTGAGAGCATGCTGTGTGTTTCAGAGTTAATTTGCCAAAAAAACAGTTATCATAAAAAACCATAAATTTTACTTTCATCTGTCCCTGAATATATGCTGTCTTTTTTTTTTAAGAGAAAAAGATTTCTAAATCTACATTAAAATACTGAATTATTTTAACGCATTAAAAAAAAAAAACCAGCATCCGGCTTATAGGACAAGAATGATAAAGCAAAAAGATACTGTCTCCATTTAATGCAAACAGTATTCAGATTTATTGTTCAAAGGTTGAAACTAACACATGCTGGATGCTTTGAAGGAGCAGCTAGCTCAGCTGGAGGGTCACATGACAGTTGCTAATTGAAAAATGTTAAAAAGGGGAGGGGGAAGGGCAGGGTGTCCACCCTTACTGCAGCCTTTGATTTTCACTGAAGAAAAATAAGGTTAAGATTTGTATAACTCTCAAAAGACGCTTAGACTGTAAGTGACTCACCCTGGGGCTGGCTGAGCACAGCTGAAATGCCATCAAGGCTTGAGGGGGTGGGGAAGAAGAAAGGAAGGAAGAAGGGAGGGGGAGGAAGGAAGGAAGGAGAAAAAGAAAGAAATTTAAAACTAAAGCTGTATTTTCATAGAGCTGTGTAATGAAAATAGTCTAATTGACAAATCAGTGAAATGGTTTCTACCATTGTATTTACAAAATTGAAACACTCTTCACCATAAAGCATGGCATTTTTTGATTTGTCTAAATACTTATATTAAAGGGGTATATCTTTTATTAAACTGACAAACTTGTGGGTAGGAAGTCAAACCAGTGGTAACATTACAAGTTAAAAGTCAGTACATTTCTAAGATTAAGTAGCATTTCTTTAAAAATTTTTCAATGGCTTTGTTTATTTAAAAAGTCATGACATTTTCACAAGGTATTCATTTTCTATGTCTCCACAAATATTATGCTACATTCCTTAAAGCATATTCTTCCTGTGTATACAATGTCCACACAATTCAGAATGACGAACAAAATTTTTCATGATTAATGCTAATACTTTATTGACATGAGATGGGAAAGTAATAAGCCATAGCTAGATTTAAAGTTGAATTAATGACACCATTTTGATTGTGCACATTAGCAGCAGTTACCTGCACTACTCATTCTGAGCCACTAGATGGTGTGAAAAATAAATTAAAATGGCAAAAATTTCATGCCACAATTACGAAAATCTAGATTAAACAAAAATCTAAGATTAAACAAATAGTAGTGATTTTATACTGACTACACTTAAAAATCAAATCCTATGTTTACTTAGTGTGTGTACATCTTTGCGAAGTTGGCTCTTTGCCTCACAGTGGGCCTCAGGGCTTGAATTCAGGTTGTCAGGGCAAATGCGGCCACTTTCACCCGCTAAGCACCTCACCGACCCTACTGTTTATCCTTCTAAAATATACAATACCGGCCCCACCTGGATCCAGAAATTCATTACTTTCTTCTCAAAATCTTGATTTCTCAATTTATTATTTTAAGTATTTGGAAATTAAACACAGCTATGGTATTAATGTAAGGTCTGTGTTTGCCAACGTTCCTACAAAACTGTGAGGTCACAGCAAGAAAAAGAATCGAGAGACTGACTGTCCAAGGTTGCTTTCTGAACCTCCTCAGTGCAAAGGGAGAGTCCTCACAAGCAGCTCACTCCAAAGCAAGCAGACTGCCAAGAGCCCCAGCAACGCCTCTGATGTGTGGGTTGTCAGGGGGAGGGATTGGGGGAGGGGGGGAGAGGGCTGCTCTCTTTATTCTAAACATGAACCCACTTCACTCTCCCAGCTGCTGACTGTGAACACCCAATCATTTGGCCTGTGGGGAGATGTGGTGGCTAACAAGTTCATCCTTCTGGACTCCTCTTTCAAAAAACTAAATTAGCCCCAGCTAAAATGCCCATCTCTAGGAGGAACCCAATAGACTGACTAATGTTGGAACATCAAGCCTTACAAAGGTCCAAAAGAGAAGGACAGTTCTCTTCCGATAACAGCTTTTAAAATGGAAGTGAATGCCGCCTGTGGGCTGGGCCACCTCTAACCCGAGTTTAAATCAAGCTGTATACATAAAATTACACTCTTTACAAAACACGTTTCTGGGACCTGAACTTCTACCCTCAGCACCCTGGAAGGCCAGCGCACACTAGGGCTACACTTTTAATTTCACATGAGCAGGGAAGGGTGGAAGTGAGCCAAGCCCAAAGCCACCTTATCTGCCCTGGGGTGGGCTTTCCAGCAGCCACGCTGACCCAGGGAAAACACAAGACCATGTGTGCAAGATGAGTATAGTGGCTATGCCATTTACCCCTAGAATCTGACATTTCACAAGGAAGTTAGCCGACTTTCTAATTTTATATACTTGTAGGCAAATTGGTATAGACACAGTGAGCTTGGTAAATTTGGGGAAAGGTTTCAGTAAAGTTTCCTGGAAAGAACTGGGCCAGCAGAGTTAATTCTGTGACACAATTAACTTTAAAGGTTGCCGTTTTAACTCGGGATAATTAAATGCTCAACAACAGACTTAACCAAAAGCCGTCCTGTGGGGCATGACGGCAGCACCTGGGGTCACAGTATTGGGAGGCTGACTGGAGTTCAAGACAAGTCTGAGCCAGTCAGAGAAATGCAGGGGTGGGGGTGGGGCACTAGTTCAGTTGCACAGGACTGGATTAACAGGAGCAAGGCTGTGGATTCAACCCCCATAGTGTCGATAAATTGTAGTAGGGCTGGCCACTTACCTGAGGCTTCCAAGAATCGAAAGTGTCTTTCTGGGAGCAACAACCAATAACAACAACACACTAATGAGCAGGAATGCTGTGTGAGGCTTTGGGCTTCACAGCTATCTGTATCAAGTTACTCTAAGGACTCCTTAACCCATCCATCTACAAGCGCTTACATATTCCTGGTGCCTAGAGTGTGTCCTGGTATTGTAGAAGCTTTGCTATGGTGTGGAATTAAGCAGGAGGGAAGGAAAGACCTAGTATAGGATCAAGACTTACAGCTCAAGTATTGAGTGCACTTTCGTGACTCACGGCCCTCACTTGTAGAATCGAGAACAGACCATCTTCAATAAGATGCCCACTCTCACATTCTATGACCAGCTGGATCAAGATTTTCTGTACCAGCCATCCAACATTAAAATCCAACATGTGACCTTACTTTCAAATTCCCATTGTATCTAAAAAAATTTATCCCTCTGAAATATCTCAGTGTTAGACTTATGACCTACTTAACATTTCCCTGTGCATATTTAAATCACTTCCATTCATCATTTGGTGCTAAGATAGTCTCAAAAAAGTAGACTTTTTGTTTTTAAATCCCTATGGTACAGTGGAAAATTTTGGAATGAAAATGAAGAGAGCTCATACACAGTAGCAGGAGTATACTGCCCTGAGTTTTAGAGTTTTCCAGTTCTCCAGTCGAGCATTTCAAAAAAGCAGACACAACTGTTCTTAGAATATAAAGATGAGTCTGTGGCAACAGACATTGTCACCACGAGTACAAATATAGCGTGTTAAACTTTTAAAAAAAATTACCTCAACCTGTCTGAACAGAAAAGCATTGCCTTTAAATTGTCGGAACACCAATGCGTTTACACAAAGATGAAAAACTTCTTCCATAAACACAGAGCTTCCAGTGGAGAATGGCAGGCAAACTCAGAATAAGCACACAGAAGAATAAGAAGGAAGAAGCAAGAAAAACACAATTAATAACCCAATACCTTACAATGTTAACTTTCACATAAGTATATTGTTTCTGGAAAAGGCAGTAGGTGGATGCCAGCCAAGGGCTGGAATGATAGGTAAACACACTGGTAAGTTGAATCCTGTTATCTGATTGTGTTTAAATTCTGATTATATTTCACTTGACAAAATAATTAATTATTGCAAACTTCCAATTGTTAACAAGGACCCAGAAGAATTCGATTGGCATTTTTCCCTCGTGTTGTAAATTCAAATGCAGGAGAACTGAGCTATGTGTTTCCCCTGGACAGCTATCATTTGGCGGTGCTCTCTTACCTTGCTAAGGATGTAAATCACATCACCACGCTTAAAGGACAACTCGTCAGAAAGGGCTCCAGTACAGTCCCACAGACCCTGGTAAAAATTAGCATAATCAGTGCTTCTATCTCCTAGGAAAAGAAAGAGAAAGTTGGGAGTTATGACTTGAACCACAGAAAAGGAAGGACCATCCCAGACCGCAATCACAGAACCTCCCAGTGAACCCACAAGAGCCCCTCCCAAGTGTGTCCATGAAGATCCTTTCAGAGAGATTTGGTTTTCCATGCCGGCTCCATTTCCATTCTTAATCTAAAACCTGCAGGGATGGCATTCACATCAGAACAGCAGATGCTTTGTGCTTGCCCCGTGTGCTGAGAACCACTGGCCTTACTGCATAACCAGCCATGTGTATGGATGGGACGGGACAGGCACACTGGAAGTAACCATCTCATGGAGTCTGGAATACTTGATAACAATTATAATAACAACAGTAAATTTCAATACACAAATACAAAGCATTTGTACCCAAAGCCTCTCAAAGTTGTCTCTAAGATATTTTTGCAACTTTGAAATTGCCATTACAGACTTTTGTCAGTCAGGTCTAGGATATTAGGCTCTGAATAAACATGTGACATCCACTGGAGTTACCAGCTCATCCTTCTACTGGCATAAGCACAATGGATGTGATGTCTCAAACTGCCATACACACCATTAACTGATTGATTATTTAGTGCTCTCTGCTCTGTAAGACCACAGTAACTGGGTAACAAATGCTTTGTCACTCACAGTGCGGGTCTCCTGAAACACAGAACACAGTTAAATACACTGGACGCTTTTGTTGCACTGAGAACTGTTTCCTGTTTTTAATTTCATGATAATTGAGTTTTGATGAGTTCAGGAAAAAAGAATGCAAGTGATATCAATAAGACAGAAGATGCCCGTGTGTTCGCTAGCCAGGCAGAACACACATGTGGCGACAACTCCCATCTCTGGAATGCCATCTTTGAATCTGAACGGATAATGTGGAGATGTATGTTAGATCAGGGCTGTCATCTTAGTTTTGTTAGATGGCTTTCATAGCAGGCTCCTTGGCAATCTCAACACAACTAGTCACATTAGCACTGTTAGCACAGCGTTGGTTTTCACAAAGTATTAATTTATCAGAAGATTTAAAATTCTCCTTAATGTCTTTAACATTTAAAAAGAGAGAATCTGAGTACCACAGAATCTAAGTATTTATAAGACATGCCTTCTCAATTATATTTGTTAAAAAAAAAAAAAAGAAAGAAAGAAAGAAAAGAAAAAAGAAACGAGGACTAGAAAATACAACCTAACAGAATCCCCTGTTAGTTGTTATTTTTAAGAGTGAAAGGCCAGGGCAGGATCTTGGGGGAGGGCGGGAGAGACAGACATCTAATGGCTTCTCTACTTTAGCATTTGGGCTTGAAGCACTAAAACCAGCAGGAGCACCAGCAGGGATGTGTGTAAGCCTCAGAATCCAACCAAGAGCTAACAAAGCTTTTGGCCACCCCCATATCACACCACCCCCACTCCCAAGCCTGTATTAAATACATTCTGTAAATGGACACTAGAGGGCACTCCAGCTGGCCAGATATCTCCAAATGTTGTCAATTTCTTTTTAAGGGGGGGGGGGGGATCACTTAATAATAAAGTGACTGATTTCTTTTTAAAAAAACCACTTATTTAGACAAATAGAGATTTAGAAGTTGAAACATTTCTGTCATATTAAATCAACTATTAAATGGGTCAAATGTTGGACCCATGCAGTCTGTCAGTGTCAGTTTGAGAGGCAAGGAATTAGAGCAGAGGGGATGACATCATTTCACATGTGAGGTCCTCCACACAGTCCCAGCCAAGAGGTAGAAGGGCTACACAGCTTTTTCCCCAGTAGGGGCCAGGACATGTTCCCATACTGCTCAGCCTTCGGCTTGGTCCAAAGACATGGAAGGAACAAACTTAGGCTAAAAACTAAAGCCAAGGTTTTTGGCCAAGATGTGGGATCCCCTAGTTGTTCAGGCCCTTCAGATCCTCTCTCAATACTGTTCATTTAATAGATTTCTTCTTTTTTTAAGTAGGGGCAGAGAAGAAAGGACAAAAGAAAAGTACATGTTGATTTCTAATACATACTCTTATTACTTTGGGGTTTCTCTTCCCTTGGATACCCTTGAAGAAACTCTCATTAACACTAATGGGAGTTATAGAAGCGGGCAAGGGGAGAGACCCCCACCGTGTGCAAGATGCATCTCTCCCTAGACGTGCATCAGGAGCATTTCATTAACCCTCGCTGCTGCAAGGGGGCCAGGGAGCCAGTGATGGGGCGATGCGGGGAAAGATGCATATTCTCCACTGTGCTTTCTACGACCCTGACAATGATGGGATCCAACAGCCCACCTCACTTCTGTGTCCCACATGTGAGCACAGCTGGGGAACAATGTGTGTACCGGGCAGCTTATGTACACACGACGGAGGTTATAGGTGTGAGGAGGAAGCATCCACAATGAGGGAAATCCATAAAAACTTAGGAGCAATCTTGTTTGTGGAAAGCAGGAAGCTCCTCTAGTAAGTGTGTCTAAACATCCCCAGACAAAAGTCATGTAGAACTACAGCTTTGAAAGCACAGAAGGCTCACAAGAATGAGCACTTTTTACCTAGACCCTGGGAGACAATCCTCAGGAGATGCTTCTGCTTTGCTTTGTGGTGATAGGGACCAATTGCAGAGCTTTGCACATGCTAGGCAAATACTCTCCTGCTGCCAAGAAACACCCCTGCCCCAAGATAGGCACATTTTATAATATGGAACTTTCAGAAGCACAGTTAATGTGGTTTGGCTGTCTATTCTGTGAATTAACATCGTTCTAGCTAGACCACAATCAGTATTTTGAAAACTACCACACAAAAGTTCACCTTGTTATGTGCGCTGTCCTGGGGCATGAGCTATTTTAAAAAGAAGGTAAAAAATAATAATAATTAAAAAAAACAAGTTAGCCAGCCTTTGAAACATTGTAGACAATGTGCTTTTAAAAACTTAAAGTAGATACTGGGCAAAGCTAACAGAATTGTTACCAAAGTTCAAATTGAACATGCAGATACCAGATACTCTACAAAGGCAAGATGATAAAGGTCAGGATGGCAGTGAATGAAGTGTGATGATGCACTGGAGATCTCTCCCTGGGTACCACAAAAGTAACAAGTATTTTAGAAAGGGAAGCATACTTTCATAGTGTTGAAAAAAATCAAGCAGGATCTCATATATGTATGTATTATGTATGTATGTATGTATGTATGTATATGTGTGTGTGTGTGAGAGAGAGAGAGAGATCTGTGTGAGACAGATAAAAGTGAAAGCAACTTGTTGGAGACAAGATGAACTCAGATTTACTTTTCTATTTTACATTAGAACACTCATAAAATTAGTCAGTGTAAAATAAGCACACTCTTGAGTAAGGTTAGATGTTCATGTCATATGATGCTCAGCAAGACAGCAATGTCCTTGTCTACTCAGTGCCCTGTGTGGAAAGCTTCTAGTCAGTGACAGGCATGGGCAAAGGTCACCACCGTGCAGAGGCACTGAACTGTGGCTTAAAAGCACGCCACTGCACGAGAGATAAGAAAGATTATAGAACTTTGTGGCTATGGCATAAAAAGCTCATCTACTCACTGGATTCCTCTAGGAAAGACTGTCTCCCCACTACCCTCAGAGGCAACTGTTTGCAGTATGGTCACTTGCATCTGTGGAACGTCTATCTACCTTCTACATGTGCATAGGGGATTTAAAAAGCAACCTGCATGCATTTGACAGGAGCTTCGTGATACATAACTTAAAATATACATACCTACTTTACTATCAAGCACAGTGCTTGGGGCTTTTGCTATGTTTCACAGCTGTGTTTTAGAGGACAGGAGTGCTAAATCTAATGACTTTGTCCTTGTTTCCTTTCTGAATTAAAAAAAAAAAAAGCAAACCCACGCCTTATGCAGTTCTGCAGCAACCTGCTCCTGCCTTCCTGTCTAGGTCCAGAATCAGGCCTCCGTTTCCTTTCCATATGTCACAGTAGGAAGGCCTTGGGAAAGCTACTTCCTGAACACACACTGCTTGTCCACCCTGCTTCTGACAGCTCAGAAGAGTGATGTATGGTCATATCAGTGAGGGGAAGGGGACCCAAGCTCCAGCTCTTTACAGGACCTGGGGGTGACAGGGCAGACCTCACCCCAGCTGGCATGTGGCTATGAAGAGGTGTAAAGTCCTGATAAGAAGGCAGCCATCTCTTCTCTCCCTGTAAAGTAATTGCTGGTTTATCAAAACTAACCTCATGTTTGCACTACAGATAGTTTATCTTGCGCTACTTGGAAACAACAACAAGCAAGAAAAGTTGTCTGTATCGTGTGACTTTGTACATTGTGTACGCAGTTATTTTTCCAGTCTCAGTCATAATTAGTACTTGGGGCCATGCGCCAGGTGGAAATGGATAACGCAGAATATCCGTCCCAGCTTTCTAGGCAACCAGTGTCCTTTTCTAATTTTTAAGCTGCTGTCACTGGACTCTGGCATTTCTTACCCAATTCATTTGCTCTGTGTGTTAATCATATGCAATGAAGATATGCATGGCCAACATTTAAACAGGCTGCAGATCAATTAGCGGTCTTAAGTTTATCTGATTTTTATCAAAGAAGACAGAGCTGTGGGTCGATTGTCAGAGCCTGTGTCAAGTTGACCTTTTCACAGATGTCTACATTGCCAGTCCCCTGGGCAACTTGTTGTCCCCTGTTAGTCTCTGAATGGCAGAAGTCTCTTCTGCTCAAGCACAAAGTATACACAGATGTCTATATTACATTCTTATAGGTTTGACAGCAACTGCATGTTGTATCTATAAACTGTCCTTTAGCAGTGACACTTCCTCAATGATGATAAGCTAATTTATGCAACTAAATCTCCTTTGTGCAGAAATGAAAGCTAATTGAGTCATTACAAAGTAATTCAGGAAGGAATACCTTGTATAAATTGGCTTACTTTATAAATCCTTCTCAAGTGGTTTTCATGCATCCTAAATGGGACTAAGCAGCTTCTCAGCCAGAAGACATACAGACCAAACAAGTCAACTGCTCCGGGGAGCTGTGCAAACATCTTCCCAGAGTTAGGAAGTGACTAGAACAAGACAAAAATAGGCTTTGCCAGGCTTACCGGAGGTGTGGTGTACACTGTCCTGACTCCCCTTCCCTTGCTCGTCCATCTTCACCGAAGCAGTGTCCTCTTCCTCCTCTGCAAATAAACAGCATCAGTGGTACACTATATGGCCCTGTGTTCCGTCACAGCACCCACCCTGATTAAAGAGCCAGACAAAGTCTTCGGCACTTAAATGATTACCTTTAAAAACATGAGACACTCAAGTTCTGAATTCCTTTTTTTAATAACCAAACAACAACCTCACCAAGGCTTAAGCTGACCTGATACAGTGTGAGATATGTACTAATATACTGCATATTTGTTTTAAATACTTAAGAGAATCCTGTCTAGAGCAACTTTAAATCCAGTACAGACCTTAAATCTAGTAACGTAACAGCCAGCATTACCAAATATGCTACATTATATTGAGTAGCAGAAACAATAAAATCACGGTTCCTAAAACATTGAGACAGCACAGGAAAAAATGTGTGATATATAATACAGATAACCTGGAAGTCATCAATTGTCAGACATGTTCATTGGTTTCCTCACTTAATCCTCTCAAAAGATGGGTCCTAACACTTCAAGGTAATTCTCCCAAATAATACTGTGGGTCTACTATGGGTCACATACCATGGGAGGTAAGCTCTATAGATGAGTGGCTATGAATCATCAGTCTATAGACAATTGAGATGTAGAAGGTGGCAAACTTCCAAAGCACGTGATTCAAACCTGAGTCTGTGGTTGTAAACCATATTCTTTATCCTCCCTGTATTCAGGGCTCTGCTCAGAATTTTTTCTCCTACACGCTCTAAGCACAGTCTCTTCCCAGGGTATAGAACAAAATAACATAAAGGTAAGCAGGAGTTTTTTCAAAAATTTCAAAACAGAATCAAACTATATCATTCTTTTCTACTAAAAACAGATGTATTACAGTATTACTTTCCCTACGTAAGGGCTTATAAAAAACTAAAAAAATATTTAATGTAGGAAATAAAAGGAAAAAATAAATTTAAAAATCCTAACTCAAGAATAATCCACAATGTACATATAATATATACATCGGTAGCCAGAATGAATATGAAATCAATCAACCGGACAACCAATTTTCACTAAGGATTACCCACGTGAGAGGAAACATTTGCCAAGAAGGCAAAGGTAATAAGATGCTTCCACCCCGAGGAAGCTGACAGCCTGCTGGGGACAGAGATGAGACCTGAGGGAAAGGATCTAACAAGGGACATCCCTAACGGGTGGGGCACCGAGCACCGAAGTGGTGTGTTGGGAATCCACTCAAGCCAGGACCAACAGAAGAGCTGCAGAACACAAAGAATTTCAAGGTCAGATGAGATGCTCTTTCCAGACCCACAGAAGAGCAACTTAGCAAGCAAGCAAGCAAGGCATAGGCGCACTCACTGGACAAAGGAGAATGGTACACTTGGGGAGAGCGAGATAGGAGAGAATGTGAGAAATGGGGGCCAGTCCGGTGGGCAGTGAGAGCCCTGGAAGGTTTCTACCAGACAGGGAAGGACTGAAATTGCTTTAAAAATGATCATTAGATCCCATTGTCTCAGACAGTCTGGATGAGGGGCGTGGGGAATCTAGATAAAGAGGAAGGAAGTCTTGAACTGATGGGGCAGAGGAAACGGGAAGGAGATGTTGTGAGAGGTCGAGGAACCAGAATCGATAAGCTTTGTGCCTGCCTGCCTCAATATTTCAAGGCTCAGGTCTAGAGGACAAACGGACATAGCGTCACTAAGAGGCTAACCCAGATAATCTGTGTTGTTGGGGGAAGAACATAGAGTTGTTTTTGCAACTGGATAGGGTTAATATCAGAGAAAAGGGCAACTGTAAAGTATTAGAAAAGCCTCCTGTACATTTTAACTAGTGATTAATCAACACCAGGATGTGAAACAAGCTTCAGAGTTACTGTGTTTAGAAGTCAAATATAAGTGGTTTGAGTTTATATAATTCAACTCAGACAAAATAATAAAAGCTCCAAAATAAGGAGCAGCTGGAACTATTTGTCTTCATGCACACTGCTGAGTTAACCTCAGTAATTTAATACGGGACACTTCTTTTAACAACCATCGCCTCACTTTGGCTAAATCTCAAGACTACTTATCACCAGCGGGTTGTTTATAGGGTGTTCTCACATAAATTCAAAAGGCCGAAACTACAGTTAGTCCCGCCTACTCTTTTCACAGATGCTGCATTTATTTTTAAAGGTGAAAGATGGAGCTTGCCTTGCCTTTCTTGTTCCTCTATCCACTCTCTCCAGCCTGGCTACAAACCCAGTATTAAGGGGGAACGATCCTAAGAGCGCTTGCTTGTCAAGCACAGCCACAGCTAGATAGGGAACACATTTTTGGCTTTTAAGAAGAAACTGGGATTTAGACTCACCATCCAATGTTTGCATCAATATACCATAAAAATAATGGTAAGAATTAAATAGAAAATGTTCTTGGCAAAGTTAAGAACAAAATTTGAAGAATTTACTACCACAAATTTATCTTTATTAAAATGTATCTATAGTATATGCTAAGGATTGTAGTGGTGTGGGAAAACTGCCTCTATGCAATGATTATTAAATCATCAGAATAATAACATTAAAACATCTGAGCATCAATATTTACAGAAAGGCCTCTGTGAGGTCATCCTTGTAGGCAGTCTTGGGGAGTATGAGGGGTTTCTGCGATGCTGCCTGCTTGCATTTCAAAACTGCACTAACATTTGAGGTGAAAGCCTTATACAATCCATCCATCAAGATTTCTAAATAAGATTCAACAATTCATTCATCTTGGCCTAACAATACAAACAGCTTCCACATAAAAGACAAACTCAAATTTTGTGTGTTTTTAATTTTAGAGGCGAATATTCACAATGAATATTGACTAGAGCCTGGCACAAAGGACAGTGCTGACTAAATACTGAGAACAAATAGATCCAAAAATCATGGAAGTCCTAGGGTTCATTTATTAACAGAGAAAACCCACCCCATACCACTAAAAGCCACAGAAGAATAACTAAAATTCCAGGCAATAATTACCTTCATCCCATATTAGAAATACATACGTTCACATATTATTTTACTTAGATTTATTATTAAACATATTTTATTTTCCTGCTGAGGCACAATGTCATTATATAATACTAATTAATACCTCAAATAGTCAATGTTTGTGGGTTAATATATTCCATTCAACATTTTAATAACAGTAAACAAAAACAGCTCAGCTATGCAGTAAAATCCATCAAACCACACAGATGGTTATAAGGTTTTCATTATGTGGTTTCCATAGCAATCATATTGCAAATCTGGAAGCTTCTTGCAAATAAGCAGCTTGTATTTACATGCCTCTCAGCTGCAGCACAAAACTCTCCAACACACGAAGTTGTTATTCCAATCACACAGTGTTAGAAGAATCATCTGGAGGTTGCTTTGTGATCAGACAAGATGAAAATAAAGCAAGCTAAGAGCCAAAGACAATCGAATGCAGTCAGCACTGGCTAATCAGTGTGTTCTAGAAAACTCTGGTAGGCAGAAAAGGTTACTCTAAGCCCTGCCAGAAAGAGGAAGCCTTTGGACCCACACAATCCTGGTCCCTAACTGCAGCCATGTCTTTCTTTAATAGTTGCTTGTCCTCCTTCCTGGGTTGAGCAAGGGCAGGGAGGAGAATAGAGTCAAGTCTTCAAATTATTTTAGGAAAGCCCATGCTAGGAAATGCTTATTATGAAAAATCTGGTACTTCCCTTCTCCTTTACATTAATCTATTTAATGTTAAAATTGGTCCAGCTTCCAAGAAAACGAACTAATATCCTAACAAGGACCACAAATCTGTGCAGCCATGTGATGTTTGCAATAGTACTGTTTCTGGCTTACTAAATAATGTTCCTACTTTCAGGATAAATAATCAAAAAGAAAAACGTTTAACCACCAATCTTGAGAAGGGCTACAGACTCTTGGTTAGCACCAAGGCGAGGTGGCTAAGTTCAGTAGCAAGGGTGGACCTTACAGTCTCTCCCAGGGACAGGAAGGCAGTACATGAAACTTGTTTGACTCACACAGTGATTTGGTTTCTCGTGGACTGCCTTCAGGAAACAGTGCTCATGGTTACCGATAACAATGTTTTCTAAGTTCAACTGGTAGAACATAAAACTCTTACAGTGTATTTTAAAAGGAAAAATTATTCTCTGAAATAGTTTCAGTTTAGATCACTACTTGCCCAGGCTTCACTTGATTATGCAATTATGCGGTTTTTTTTTCCTCAAGGATAGTTAATATTTATTGCTTAAATGTCCATACTATCCATGTTTAAATCCATTATGTAACTAAATACTCCAATAATTCTATGAGGCATTATTAGGCACTTGTATTCTCATTATTTATGAATGCAAATGATGAAATTTATGGAACCCAAATAACTTGCTCAGGTGACATCCAGTTAGGATAAATATAAGAAACAGTTAAACTCCAAGGAACATACTAAGAAGCTATGGTGTCTGCATTCAGTCATGACATATTAAAAATGGTACTGAATGTTCGATGTTGGTGTTAGGGACATTTGAGGGTGTGAAAAACTTGAGCTGAAAACAGAGGTAGGAAAACAGGAAAGGCAGAGCTGCATGATTTTGGCATTACAGACTGTTATTCTGTTTCTAGACGGACACTAAAAAAGATGGTTTCAGATACAGTGCGTGGTGGTGTCTAGCCTGCCCACCTGTGTGAAACAGCAGGCACTTAAGAAAATAACTCACCATGGAGTAAAAGGTGTGTGCGTATGTGTGCGCACACATTCACAGCTACTGTAATTAAAGAATAAGAGGCTGTGAATTTGAGGAGTAGAGGGGAACAGGGTAAAGAGGGAGGATGTGGAGGGACAAAATGACATAAACATATACACATGAAATTACCAATAAATAAAGCAAAACTTTAAAATAATGTGTTTTTATAAAGATATAAGCATGTGCCTAAATTTTAGTCTTAAACTTTAAAATGAACAGAAAGAAGTGTACGGTGGCTAGTGACAGTCACACGTGCTCTCCAGGAACTGGGTGAAGAGTGGCCTCTTGCTGCATGTCTGCTTACTCATGTG